ACATCTGGGGACACAGGAACTGCAGCCCTGGTGGCCCAGAAAACCCTTGCTCGGGTCTTGTGTCCATCATTTCCTGCACAGAGAAGTCCTGCATCTCTCTTTCATGCATGGGCCACCAAATTCAGATACTTTAAAATTTCAGGTCATCAGGGCTTGGTCCATGGACTCATCAACTGAGAAAATGCCAGCAAAATTCAGATTCAGGTCTGGATTTTATAGTCCAGAACAGAGCTCTGCCTGCTAGGCTTACTCCACAACCTCCTGATCAGACTCCTTAAGCATTCACAGTATATAAGAATGTAAACCAAAAATATTTATATATGCCTCTCTCCAACAGTGCTCTTAGGGGGCTGCAGCTGTAGGTACTGAGGGTTATATAACTCAGTTCCTCTGACAAAGACACATTTGGTTGAACTTTAAACAAGGGACCTTTAGAAATCTGTAAAATTTTAACCATCAGTGTGTAACAGCTTCTGGGACGTTTCCCACCTTGTAACATTTAAAACAATGATTCATCTTCATAAGAAATATGTAACTGTCTGAAACTAACTCTCAAATAATGTTAATTATCTGCATGGTCTGTGTTTCTGCATATGCAGTTTCCAGCTACCAAGACTGGACATTAAGAAAACTTTTACATGACATCAGCTTTCCAATGACCAGCCAGTTATAAACCACAAAATTTTTAATCTGCATTTGATTGTCACAGCTTAAAAATCACAGATTTTACGAGAGTTACAAATCATTTTTAGACTGTGCAGTGTGGACTAAAAGCCAAGGTTTTTTTGTTTTGGCTTGTTGATATTTCCTGAAAACATGAAACAATTCTGAAAGGACAGATTTCCTGGCTCACAGCTAAAGGTCAGCAGTCACACAGGGACTGCTTGCTAAGTGCACCAAAAGGAAAGATTGGCGCAACATTGCAGCGTTATTAAAAAGTGGTTTAAGTGGGGGAAAAGGGAGAAAATGGAGAGACAGACAAAGATTATACTCTCAACAACTGAGCTTTCACAAAGATTAGAAAAACAGCCTTGTTCCTTGCTGCTTGCAGCCCCTCAGTGTCACTCCAAGCACCGCTTGCTCTTGCTCCCTCTTTACAGCCCTCTGCAGCCATCCCTGACTGCCCGGCCTTGGGAAGGGACTGCTCTGACCACGCACCACAAATCACTGCTAGAGCCTCTCCTGAACAGCCCAGAGGGTTTTCCAGGCTCCTTGCTGCAACAGAGTATGGCAGCACGAGTTTAATTTGTACTGGGAAGGACAGGAGCTCAGAATTCTGATGACTGTGAGCAACACGGACATGCAGTTGTGTGATAACCAAAAAGAAAGCTCATTTTCCACAGGAATCTCCCCCAGACCTGAACAATGTTTTTGTAACTCTCTCCCAGCACGCCTGAAGAGCCAGTCCTGTTCTGCAGCTGTCAGAGGGGCACAGCCAGCTCACATCTGTATCCTGAACCACTGCATGGACAAAGCTCCTTGTCAAGGTATTTAATTTTTTAATAATAGATACTGAAATTTCCCCATTCACTGACAAGATACCAGCTTGAAAAGAAGCACACTCTGCAATCAATGTTGGAAGCACCTTTAAAACAGTATTTAGGATGAGTCTCAACAGAGGCTGTATCCCAGCTCCCTTTAAGACCCCCAGCTTGTTTTTATTTTTATTATTCATGTTTTTCTTTCTAAGTATAGGCTATATATATATATGTATATTTCAGGCAAATAAATGCCAACCAAAACCAACCTAGCAGCCTCAAGTGGGTCTCTGCTACAGGCCCTGCTCCCAAGTACCTACATTTCCCTCCCTGTCTGACCAAGAGCCCTGGGCCATCAGAATTAATAAAGATTTTGTGCCTTTAATCCTCTAAATGAAATACTTCTACTCTGACCACAACATCCTCCCTAGCACTGAGTTATCAAAAGCATATGCTCCCATCACTCATGCTCTGTGCTTTTGGCTCTTTTTCTTTCTTTTTTAAATTAAAACCAATTGGTTGTAGAGCAAAATGCTACCTTTTCAGTTAAAAGGTTAACAACAAGCTATGACCACATGTATAGCTTGCAACTGATGTCTCCAAATTCTGCTAACTACAGTAACATAAAGTAAAACAACAAATGTGCTGGTAAGCAGCTAAGCAATAGCATAGGCTGTTTAAATTTAGCCCTGGCAGATCCTGGAGGAAGGGCATCTCCAGCCATGTGTCCTCTGCTGTGCAGAGAGAGCACTCAGACTGTAGGATCCTATTCCACACACCTCATTTTCAATATAGGGCTGCACCTATTGCATCTCATCTGTCTCTCACACGTGCATTTTCTCTATTGAATGAGATAAAGGGCACTCAGCTCTTGGACACAGAATGTTTGTCCCAAAAGCAGCCAGGGAGACTGAAACCACAGCCTCTGTAATTCCTTGCAACAGCACAAAGCTGCAGCTCAGAGCAGAGGCATGCTGACAATTTAGGGCTTTACAGACCACAACCTGCAAAGATGAATTACTCTCCAAAGCAAAATGTTGACCACAGGCATGGAGAACATTACTTCAGAGGCAGATTGCTGTGGCCTTGCTATTTTCTATCTGGAGCTTGGGGAATTTCCAAGTAGAGACTATTGCCATGATCAGCAGTGAGATTACAGGCACAAGATTTGCTGTGATCAATCCAAAAATAAGACAGCTCCAGGCCTGAAGTTCAGAGTGCCACACCTGCTAGCAGAGAATACATGAATAATCTGATCTCCAGGCCACAAATACTTTGAGAAAGGGTTGGACATCCCCATCCAGTGGAGCCTCTCTGCCTGCTCCTAAGGCCAAATGAAATCACTAATGTGAGGACAAGCTGTGCATTGATACCTCTGAAACCCCAAAAGCTGCACTCCAAGCTGCTGCTGAGGAAATCCAACAAAATCAGGCATCCAGTGCCAGCAAGACTAGAACTCATCCATGTGACATAAAAAGCTCCTTTATTGAATAGCTCTAAGCAGCACTACCTGCAAAAGTCTTGTTAACTGTGAGATTAATAACTTTTCCTGGAAGCTAGGGCAGTTTCTGTGGCATTGTTTCAGGAGCTGAGGTGATCCCATTGCCCCATCACCAGAACTCCCTCAATTTCAAACCATTTATGCAGTAGCTAAAGAAAAATTAATAGTACTATTTCAAGGTAAAATCATGCTTGAAACTGAGACACAATATGATGATTTTTTTAATCATGTCTTGCATAAATTATGAACTCTGCATTGATTACAAGGGTAGTTAAGCACATGAAAAGGGTATAATGGGAGCAGGAGACATCTTCCTGGCCTGTGGGCTCAAGTGAGGTTGTTCCCACTACAGAACACCAATGATCTGTGCATTATGGTCTGTAAAAGTAATACTTGGCTTATTGAACATTTACTTTGTTTGATACTTAGAAGAAACTTGTGTATGCACGACAGAAATAAAGCTCTATCTTAGTAAAATTCTGGGGAATAAAACCAAAATAAAATAAAATACTGGGGAATAAAACCAAATGGCTCTAACTGACAACACAAGCATCTCCCTTTTATATACTTTGTTTTGCTTACTGTTACTCTTACTGCTGTTATTATTATTATTATTATTAATCCACCAAAACATCACACTTAGACTAAACCAGTTCCCCACTAGGGAATTTCTGCTTATTAGTATAATCCTCAACACTTCCATCAAATTTTGCACTCCCTGACATGTCAGATGCAGAACTCTTTGGAGTGGCTGTGGTGAAAATAAATAGCAGATACAGCAGGCAGTGCAGTGACAGGGAGTGGAGAAAGAGGGTGCCAAGCACTAACCCCTGTGGAGGGCTGGATTTCAGAGCTTGGGGATTGTGCTCAGCAGCAGCTACGTCAGGTCCATTCAGACATCAGTCTGAGCAACCACCATTGTCAGGCTCTTTGAAAAATCCTGATTGTCACCTTTTAAAGCAGGTGAAAATCAATTAATTTTGAGCTTATAAAGGAATGCCTTTGCTGTGGCCAACCTTGGCCACACACACAATGCCTTTCGCAGAGATGCACTGCCTTTTCTTCCTATTTAGTGTAAAAGCACTTCATCATCTTGGTTATAAGCCTGAAGGTCAGGCTTATTTCTTTAGATCTATTATTTACTACTTGAATTTCCAGTTCCGCCTTTCTGGCTATTACAGCTTCTTTTCCCAACTCCTTTTCACGGTAACTCCGCGATGATGACTGTTTGATAAAGTTAGGAGGGCCATGATTCTAAGTGTCTGACCTTCTTCAAAATCTGATAATGGATACAGTTGCTGAATCACAGGTCATCTCAATTTTGTCAGTAAACCATTTATTTACAGTGGCCTTCAGACCTCCAGGCTCACTGTGCACTGCAAAATGGATTTTTCAGGGAACAATAAAAGTAGGAGAGCCATCCTTAGCCTTTGCTTAGGTTAGGAGGGATACTGGACTTTGGAGACAATGTTTCTCCACAACATCTTATGTACCACAATCCCTAAGAGCTTTCCTGCTCTGTAACATTTCCTGATGTTTGTATGAAACTGACAGTTATAGGATCCAATACCTACTAACCTTATTTTCACTTGCAACCTACATGGAAAGGACAAGAAAAATCCATGTCTCCTTTAACTCTCCCCACCTACTGAGGCCTATCCAGTCACCTTTGCAATATTGTTCAGCTTACAGTTCAAGGCACACTGCCTCAAATGCTACTCTGCTGTGGCAGGAGCTGATTTCAGCACACCTGTCCCAGCTGTGTCAGTGCCAAGGCACACCAGGGTCTGCCAGCCTCTTCCAGTGGCTGCTCTGAAATGGAGATCTCAAAATGCCTTGGTCTTACAGAAACCCTGCCAGAGGTACAACTCCTACAATTCCAGCAGCTCAATGCTTCACACAAAGTGTTGAGTGAGATGCAGAGAAAAACGTGTAACACACCAACTCCTGGCTCCAACAGTGCCTGGAAAAGTGAGCAGTGAGTGGATCCTGAGCAGAGGAAGCAGGCAGGTTTTACTTACTGTCAAAGCTCCTGTGCTGTGCTGTTAGGATGGCCTGCACAGAGCGACCAGCCTCTTTCATCATGGCTTCAAATTCACTTCGGCTTTTGTTTGCAAAGTTCTCCTCCATCTCGCTGGTGCAGCAGGTGTATCCCTGTGGGCAGATTCGCAGGTGCTCCCCTAAAATGAGAGAAAATGCTGTTTAATGGCCAGATCTGGGAAATGGAGAACTTAATGCTGGACAATCTCAGCTTAAAAATATCTCAGCTCCCTGGTAACCTGCATCTGCATCGGGTCTTTCTGTCAAATTTACCACCTAATTTGAGTTCTTCTGCTTTGATACAGTGGTTGGTATCAACGCAGGCACAAATTTTCTTACTGTTGACTGTGAGGGAAGAAAAAGCAAGGAAAAAAAAATCATATTTGGAGCAAGGAGAAGGGAAAATCTCCTGCTCAAAGTCTGTCCTAGAATCCATCTCTGCCTAGAATCCCAGAAGACATGAAAGTCTGATTAAATGACAGCTGTACTCATTAGACTTAATATGTACATTAGCACAGCCATTTGAAACTGCTTTGTAAGGAAAAAAAGAAACAACTCCAAAGTGCTCCCTGTCCTACCAAATGTAGCCAGAGAAGGCATTTCCTTAAGCAGAGAGGTGAGGCTAGTGGAAAGTTTTCAAGAGACAGAGATGTGATGAATATCAGTGGAATTTGGGTGGCTAATTCCCTTCCACATGTATTGAAATTTTCAGTGAAAAATTTATCTCCTGGAAAGAGACAAGACCATCCCCAAAAAGGTTGTTCTTACAATCACTGATTGAAAATCACCCTTTGCTATAAGGAAGAACAGGAAAGGTAAGAGGACTCAGCAGTCAAATTGAAAAATTCTCCAGTGTGGAGCTCCTCCTGCCCTCTGCAATTTCTTTACTTGTGGAGAAGCAAGTGCTCGCATAGGCAAAGTTAGCAACATTTAAAAAATAATTGCTTAAGTTCTTATGAGTCCTTACAAAAACACATCCACCTGCAAACACACTCTATGTTTCTCTTTACCCAAGCAATAAGAATTCATTTGAATTAAATCAAACATTTATTAAAAAAATTAAATAAAATACCCCTCTTGTTCCAAGCATGTTTTGAGATAAACCAATTACCAAGCAGTTACCATATTTAAGATAATTTGATTGGGATTGCCAATGATTTTGCTGGCACTTTTACAGGACTGCTGTCTTAATGTCACAGCTGAGCCCAAACATCTTTAAAATTTTGTTTTATCTTGTGTGTCTAAACAGCTTCAAATCCTGAACCTGCACAGCCTTCAGAGTTACCCACAAAGTCCTTAGCTATTTCCAGTGTAAAGCTCTTAGCAAATGGGTGGCAAAGGGTCTCTGAAACTGGGTATGTGTCCTACCCTTGTTAAAGTTATCTCATTAGCAGCCTTAGACCAACTGGAGTGTTCTGTAGTTGATGTATTTTAGGCAGAAGCCATTCATGATGAGTTTGTATTTTGCTGGCCCTTGAGCAACCTCTGCAGGGTGTGAGGTGAGCCTGCCCTTGGCAAACAGGTTACCATGGGCATCTGTACTGCCAATCCTCCTGTCTATGTGACAGAAACTGCTGCTCACCACCTTCTGTAGGAAACAAACTCCCATCTCCAGCCCTGTGTTGTGCTGCCAGCTGAGAGGAGTGTCAGGGTGGTGTGTCCTGGGGCTGTCTGTCTCCGTTTGTGCCCACTCTCTGTCCCCATGAGTGCCCAAATCAGCAGGAAAAGCAGCATCTTACTTCAATGTAAAACCTCAAGAGTCAAATATAAATATCATGTGGCTCCATGCTTGCCACTATTGAATTTCACAGGCAAACCCTGAGGAGGGGAGAGAATGATGCATCTGACTCCATCTTATCAGAAGGTTAATTAATTACTTTATTATTCTATATTATTCTAATATATACTATATTACACTATGTTACATTACATCTAAACTGAATCTGCCGAGCACTCCACAGCTCAGAACTGCCCAGAATCTGTGACTGTCACCAACAGTCCTGACACACACACACACACCTGGCCCTGACAGGCCAAGGAAACAAAACCCCATAACTGTGGGTAAACAATCTCCATATTGCATTCTGCTCTGGCACAAACACAGGCATAGCAAATGAGGTAAGAATATTGGGAAGAATTGTGCCTTGCTTTTCTCTGTGAAGGGAAATGTGGGGCTACATGCTACACCAAATACAAGCCAAGTTCCAGGGCTTGCCTGAGCCTCTCCTTCCCTCACAAACTGGATTGTTCTGAGTCGTTCCCTGGGCTCCTTTCTGTAGAGCTCTATTTATCTGTACAGCGTCAGGGCTGCTGACATGTGACAGACAGGCAGGTAAAGGGAGCTGGAATTTTTTGACAAGACATGGCTTTGATTCCTGTCACGGCAAATTATAAAAACTTTTTTCTTGTCCAGCCTTTTCCATCCCATTTCTGCTGCCACAGGATTTCTGGCAAGGACGGAAGTTTTGTGCACAGCAGTTTTACTGTGGGATGCATCCGTCCATGAGGGCCTCGATGCCCTCAGGACAAAGCGAGGCCTTTACAGGGCCTGGCCTCTCTGAAAAAGCCAGTCAACAAAGAAATGGAGCCCAGGGGATCCCAGCCATTTCCAGAAGTGCCTTTACCTCCTCAGTTGATGGTGAATTCACCAGTTGATGGTGAATTTTGGTGGTGAGGTCCTGGCCATGCTCAGAGGCCTCACACTCCACAACACGAGCACTGCTGCCATTTCCTTTGGGCGCCATTACCCGCCAGGGCTGGCAGGCTCAGGCAAAGGCTCCAACAGCCCTTCACAAACGCCCTGCTTTGGGAAACTGAGTCAAGTCAGTGGGAGCCCTGAGGATCTTTGATCTCCCAGCCTGCTGCCAGCAGGATTCAGGCAGGAGGTGTGCCTGAAACATGGACGTCCCTGCAAGGAGACACCATGCGTTTACCAAAGCTGCCCTCCAGGCAGGCTCCCTGCACAGGCTGCAGAAACCAAGGGGGAAGGTGAGGGGATTGTCCCCAGCAGGAGAGGAGGGGAGGAAGAGCCCCGTGCCTGAGCTCCCTGAGGAGCAGCAGCGGGGAGAGCTGAGTTAATTAAACTGGGACACGTCCAGGCAGCGCTCTGTGCGCTCCCAGCCCAGGCGAGGCACAGCGTGTCTGAGCAGGATGGCCCCAACCCTGCTGCGACACCACAGCCTCCACACAACCTAGGGATCAGGGGAAAAACAGGCAGAAAGCAGGGGGAAATCACACCCATAGCTGAAATTGGTTAATTTTACACAACTTTGTGAATTGAATATAGAATTGTTTCCATTCTTGAGCTCCAAGCAGCTTCAATCCCTTTTGAAGTAGCATTTATCTTAGCTTTCTGCAGGTGTTTGTAAGGTACTCAGCAGGTCTTGCGTGGTGCTCAGCACCACCACACTCTATCTCAGTGGGAAGCAAAGTTTTTATTATTTATCTCTATAACTCAAACTCAGCACACACAGAACAGTCTTACAGCACTGTGAACATGCTCTGCTTTCTTTGCTTTTTAACGTGACCCACCCTGGAAACATTCACTATTATTATTTAACCTTTTTCTATTGATTCCAAAATAAATGTGCTCCAGAGCATATTTTGGTTCTCCTTATATTTCAAAGTCCCTTTGTTTGCCAACCTGCCTTTCTCCTATTGCTGAAGCTTGCACTATAAATATCTTTGGGTTCACTTGGCAGGAGATATCTCCAGATAACTACAGAGAGCCAGAGGTGTTTTACAAGGAGTGAATATCCACGATAGAGGGTGTGTCCTCTGCCTGCTGCTGTGCCACACGAGTTCTCCGTGTGTGCAGCTGACCTGTTGCTCACCACTTGTTGGACAGCATGTGCTCCCACCCCTCCAAGAGCTTTGCAGAAAGCAGACAGGCATGGCAAAAACAAACTGGCAGCAAAGGGGGGGGCTGCTCAGATCTCCTGAAGGATAATGGATATGATTCCAGTGACCAAGGCCAGCTCTGGGTCATGCCCAGAGAACCCTGGATTTACTCAACACATCTGTAAGCAAGAGAAGATGCACCTTGAGATGCTCTGAAAACAATCAGCTTGCCCACGCCTTCCAGAGTGACAGTGTGAGGTTCAGTGTGGGTCCCTCTGGAGGAGCCAGCTGTCCTGCAAAAGCTGCTGAAGCTGGGGTGGGAGGTAACCCACCCACAGTCCCATGGAAATGGAAATGAAAACAGGGTAGAGCAGGCAGGAAAACAGCATCAAGCAAGGATCTCATTTATGATTAACTGTCCTGGAAAGGAAAGGAATAGGCAGGAGGCTGATGACAAGAGAATATCCCACTGCATAGCTACAGGCTTGGATTGTCCTTGAAACACCCTCTCAAGCTGGCTGGGTTAGCAGATCATTCTGGCTATTAAATTCATTACTGCACTTCAGAGTGCTGAATATTAAATCACTTGACCACTTCCCACTCAGGGATGGAGTTAGGCCCAGGGTCCCTGCAGGGGAACAGCCCTGCCCACAGCCACCACTACCAGGAGCTGAGACAGGGCTCAGTTATGACAGGGCTCAGCTCCTGCTTCTTCTGCTGTGTGCCCCAGCCTCTCTGCCCTGCCCACGGGCTCCCTGCCACGGGCTGTGTGCTGTAACACCCAGGAGCTCAGGAGCTGTGCCCAGGAAAGCTCTCCAGCTGTTCACTGCTCCTGCCTCTCACCCCACCAGGAGGCTCTGGAAACAAGACAGAAGGACAGTCACAGGGGTGTAAAATGCAATACTGAGAGAAGAGTCCTTGGCTTCTTTAACCATGTAAATGCTGCTATTTCTATCCCTCTCACAGGATGTTGGAGATTGAATTAATTACAATGTTTGCAGAAGGTTTGGGGTTATGTGGCTGTGTCAGAGTATCTAAATGCAAATTATTACAAAATCATTCCTCCCAGAGGTTAATTTATTTCAGGCTGTGATAAATCCATCATAATTCTTCCCTCATATTTGCAACCCTCCTCCCACTCACTCTCCAAACTGTTCCAACAGCTCATTTCATGCTCCTACCCTCAGTCCAGCCCCCCATGCCAGGAACAACTCCAGCCCAAGCTCCCTCCTGGGGGGTTTCTGGGTGGCCATGTCTCAGGCAATCAGGTTTGCTCAAGTGCAAGGCATGCCAGGCATGG